TGGACATTTTCTCATGACTGTAAATGGTGGGCCCTAAGAAATTCATCCCACATAAAAGGATGAAACCATAAATTTGCCATTTACTTGCAAACTGATTTGGGTATGCTATGGGAAAAATGCTGGATTTTTTCCTGACCAAAGTCAAATATTGTAATTTTCTTTAAAAAGTTATTAATTACCAAAACAGCTCCTCTTATCAAACCTGAGTTAATACATTCCATTTCATGTTTCATGGATTGAAGGGATATTTTGTATATCATTGGAATTATAGATAAAAAAATGTCAAAAGACTATTCAATGGATATATCTTCCCATACTGTAATTACTACAGATTTGAAGGTTTTTATAAGTCTAAACCAGCCTGCCTGCCTGCCTGCCTGCCTGCCTGCCTGCCTTCCTTTCTTCCTTCCTTCCTTCCTTCCTTCCTTCCTTCCTTCCTTCCTTCCTTCCTTCCTTCCTTCCTTCCTTCCCTCCTTCCTTCCTCCCTCCCTCCCTCCCCCTTCCTCTCTCAGAAGTACTGGGGTTTGAACTCAGAGCCTTGTGCTTGTGCTTGCTAGGTAGGTGCTCTACCACTTGAGACATATCCCTTGTTCTTTTGCTTTAGTTATTTCTTAGGTAGGGTCTCCCCACCCCTTCCCCCAAGGCCAGCCTTGGATTGCAATTCTTCTACTTATGTACCCTATGTGGCTAGGGCCAAAGTTACATGCCATCATTCCTGGCTTGATTAAGCTTGGGTTGGGAGTGGGGTGTCACACTAACCTTTTGTTTTGGCCTTAAACTGGAACTAAGCTGGGGTTTATAGGCATGAGCCATCAAGCCTGGTTTTAGAGCAATGTAACTTCTAAAACTAGCAATAAAAACGTCAACCGTTTCCTTTAAGCCATGGTAAAGTTTATTTTATTTTTAATAACAATTAGAGAACAAAATGTTTAAAATTTGCAATTCAAAACATGCATATTCACAAAAGGCCAATGACATGTAACACTGCATAGAAATGAGTATTCCTTTAGTAACTGTTTATAACACAGTGCATGAAACTCAAGAGAAACACACCTGAGACTATGACAATCACAGACCTAACACTCGCCATTCATGCAGCTTTACAATTTCCACAGCAGCGTCAGCAGGAATGGTTTTTCACAGAGCTGAAAATTGGTCTCCATCTTTAATGCAAACGGACGCTTTCCACTGCCTTCCAAGGCTGCCTTTTTATTTTTAACCTAATAAACTTGAAAATGTGAAAAATGAAGCTTGAGGCGGTTCAGGAACACAGCATTTACTGCATTTATGGCTTCTATTCTAGAACCATGGGACACAAAAGTATCTGCTCACATCTCGGGAAGAGCAGACTTACCTATGGAAAGTTGCTGTTAATTCAAAAGTAAGCAAATATGAAATTTAGCTTTTTTTTCCCTACTTAAGCAAGATTTATTTGCTGAGAAGTTTCATGAACTTTACTAAGAAAAGGTTCTTATAGACGAGTTCACCAACGATTCGACTAAACTTGTTCAAATGATTGTTAAAAGAATCTACTTTTAAAACAAAAGTTGTGTGAAGGACCAATTAGTTTGCCCACTGAATGTTAAATTTCAGGTAGACCATGATAAAACTTTATAAGGCAGAAATAAACATCAAGATTTACAGCAGTAGCCATGCCTTGGCCTCAATCACTACGTATTAGTTCATACAAACCATAAACCTATCGAAAACATAGCTGTTCTCATACAGAAAATAAATCAAGATGAAAAATGGAAAACATTTATTTCCTTTCCTTCCAAATTTAGCTTACATTCCAGCTTAATAGCTGTTGAAGGTTAATTAAAAATGCAGCAAAGTTTAAGTTTCACAAGTGACTTCAATTATTTTAATGTGAGAAAAATCAGTCTATGGTGTCTTTAAGAGGCATTCTGGAAATGTCATCATTAAAAAAGCAGTTATTAGGCACTAAATTGCAGGGTGTTAACCATAACTAATTGACAAAAAGAATTCCATAAACCTGGTTATTATGATGGGTATGGGCTGGGCATTTTCTTGATAAGTTTTGTAGATGATTGTTTATAAATTAAAGATTTCATGAAGAAAAGTTTAAGACCAGAAGGAGACTACTGATTATGTAGCTCTTAAGGATACTGTGACAAATAATTTAAAAAGTATGAATATGCAATCTATTGTGCTCCAATTAACATTCTTATTTGGAAAGAACATTTTAAATGACAGTGCATAAAGTGTAAAACAAATTACCATGCAACTTTCATATTGGATCTTTAGGAGGCTGAACTGAAAAATTAAGATATAAAACTTAATGATCAGAATAAATGCTGATTGGTTCCTTTCATTCATTTCCCCACCTGGAAATGAAGAGGAATCACTGGTTCTATAAAAGGACCATATCATTAATGTGATGTAAATGTTTAACCTTACTTAGCGGAACACACATTCACCTGCCTTGATGAGGGAGTTTTCCAATAAGTTGGAAACACCACCAATACTGTCTCAGAAACAACACTGACTGGAGGTGGACCATGAAAATACACTTATCCCTTTAAGTTTATTCTGTTCCTGAGAAACACTGTTTTCCTGCTAATAAATCCTACCAGATAACATCTTTCTGTGTGCAAGTATACCAATAGATTTTTATACGTATATATAAAATATTTAGAAAGTCCATACAATACTATATCATATTTCAACATTAAAGAAGTAACTGCCAGCTTTTCAATGCTAGAGAAATGAAGATTTTTTTTCCTACTCTAAGGAGTATTTTCTGAATTGTAAACATTGTAAAAATGACCATGATATTTGCTGGAGTCCCTACAAGGAAACTGGTAATTGAAGAGTTTGTGTCTTTTTGTTCAAAAATGCATGTTAAAAGTCACTCTGGCCAGGAGCCATTGGCTCACACCTATAATCTTAGCTACTCAGGAGGCTGAGATCTGAGGGTTATGGTTTAAAGCCAGCCTGGGCAGGAAAAGTCTTTGAGGCTCTTATCTCCAATTAACTACTCTCACCTTACAAAAACAAAACAAAACAAAACACATAGCCAGAAATGGAGCTGTGGCTCAGAATGGTAGGGCTTTGATTTCAAAGCTCAGAGACAGTGCCCAGTAGAGTTAAAGCCCCAGGACTGGCACCAAAAAAAAAAAAAAAGTCACTCTGACTGGTTGATTTTCCAAGTCCTAGTAAACCACGTTATCTCTGTCCCCTCTCCCCAATTCAGGAAGGATAAAAACTTGGAGCATTTTCCTCTCTTTTCTATAAAGTCACTGTAATTACAGTGCTATATTTTCCAAGTGGTGACTCCCTTACCCTATTCCACATATCCCAATCCAAGAAGCAAAGAGATTATTAACTCAATGTTGATAACTCAGAAATATAGCTCCATGGGATACAATGGCATAAGCAGTACATTTCAGATCACAATTAACCACAAATAGTTTCATGTGGAACACTATCATAAAAAGGATTCATGTTTCAAGATGAAAATCTAACTTAAAATTTTTATGTTCTAGCCAGAAATTTCAGTTCTATTTTATTCGTACCATTCTGATATTAAAATGCTGGAGAAGGGTTCCCCTGGTGTAATGGATGTGAGGCTTTTCTCTGGAGGAATGCACTGTATTCTTTCTAATTTTTGAGGTCTGACTTCACCTGTCACCCTTGAGAAGCTCAGGAGAAGCAAGACTCTGGAGATCTATTTGGTAAAAGGAAAGACTATGACTTTTAGGATTTTGAAGACAATTTGAGACTGCACGTCTGTAGTTTTGCTAGATGTTCTGATTCATGATTCTCTTAATCTGGAGCCTGATGGGAAGGATCTGAGAAGTGAAGTATTAAACTCTTTCTTCCCTTTTGGTTAGAAATATGCATATGTGTGACAACCTCATTTCTCAAAAATGTAGCATACTGGCAACTAGCTACAAATACAGAGAAGGGAAAGATACGTATTCTGTTTTTAAATTGAGAAGAAAGAAAATAATGTGCAATGATGAGACTCAGAGGACAATTTTAACAATCATCTCTCTTCTCAATTCTCTATACTTTTAAGAGACCAATTTAAAGTCGATAATTCAAAAATTGGACTATGTGGCGAAGAAGGCATACCCACCCAGTCACCTTCCATCCCGATCACGTTATACAAGAGTCTTATCTAACCTATTTTGCTGGTAAGTCCACTTAAAGGCAAACAGGCTTTAGAATAGAAGGCAAAAAAGTCTGCTTCAATCTCTGAAGTGTATCTGAAAACTAGAATTCCTTATTTAACGCTTTAAATGAAAGTATTATTTTAAAAATAGTGTAGAAAACTGGTTGTAATTTTTTTTAAACAGCCCCTTCGCCATTTCTTGTTGGTAGCAAAATAGGCATTTTCGGGAGAGGTCATGGAAATGTTGAAAAGAATTCAACTGAATGTACCTTTTAAAACATACTAACAAGCCCTATTCTGATGAAAAATGTTCTTTGATTATAAAGTTACAAGACTTAGTAAAGTAGATATTTTTGAAAGTTGGGGCGGGAGGGGGGAGGCCCTACTTATTTGTCTCAATAAACAGAACATAACTAATTATGGGGATTTGCTGGAGCAGCGAGCTGTGAATTAATTTCCAGTATGAAGTACATGGACAGTCACCATACACCGAGTGCACAACATATCAGTCGAGAACCCAAACACCTTACAATAGCTGAGCCTATGTACATTACAAAAGCCCATGCATTTATCTGATGTGTTATTCCACATACTGAAACTTTGGAAATCTCACATAAACATGGAAGCATAATTTTCTTAAGAGGGAAAACTTGTAGACAAAATGACATCACTTAATTTATCGCCGAAGCTGAATTTTTTAGAAAAATCTGAAAGATGATCCAAGTTTATCAGAAATGACCGAGACACAAATACAAGTTCAAAAAAAAAATCAGTGTTATAGCACTAACTCACATTGACACCTGTGTCCTCTAACAAGAACAAATAAACAAGACAAATAATAAAGAAGCACTCGTAAGGCTTGAAAGGTGCCACATCACAAATTTTAGTAGCAAATGCCTGGAAAGAATTCATTTTTTGCAAATCACTCTCACATTTGAAAAGTCAAGCATGCAGATCTCATAGCAGCACTGGAGTCAACTTTCTCTTAAATTTCTGGGCAAATGACTACTGATGAGAAATCCACTTACTGAACTTCTTTGGCAAACATATAGCAAGACAATTTTTGACACAAACATGTATTAATGCCTTGTTTAGAAATGTTCAGTAAAGTGAGTCAGTTCCTTAAGAAAGCTGGTTTGTTTCAGCATGACCTGAAAGCGAAGTCTGGATATCAAGAGTCCCTTTAACTTAATACCATTTTAGAATTTTTCTTTTAAGGATGGTTGCCTTGTGGTATCACCAAGAAATTAAGTTACAGATCCAGAGCCATGGCTTGAGAGCACTGACCTGTCCTCAGCCGGAGAGAATACTGGGCAAAGTACCAAGGTCATTTTCAATTTCTGTTCACACACCTTAGCAAACACTTAAAAAAATCTGTGAGAGATGGTGTTACAGTAGTTGCACAGTGCTTATGTCTATGATGTACATGAATCTGAAGGTCCATCCATGAGATGAGCTCAGATCCACCTTTGCTCTCCGGGGACCAGAGTAGAACTGGTCAGCAGATTGTGGTGATGACCTCAGCTTGTGGGAGCTCTCCTTAGAGATGCAGTAGGGCCTGCTTCTCAGCCCTTGACCCATCACCACTCATCAGGCCTCTGTTTCGTGGTATCATAGGCTCTAATTACCTCAGACTGTGAAACAATTCCATTTTCATCTTGGGAGAAAGCATATCCGTCTGTAAGTTAAGGACGAAACACAAATTATCATCAGGAATTGGCTAGAAATCACTGTTATTTGTATTCATTGTCTAACTTGGGGAACTGATGCATCCTTGTCACCTTCAAAAGCACGAGACACTGATTTTTTGTAAACATTTCAGCAGCAAAATGGAGAGTGGGAAGACATGCCAGTTTGCATTCTATGAGGTCTGCTTCCCAACAGAGCTAAGCAGAGGTCTCAAAGCCTGTTTAATCCTCTGCTCTGTATCTCAAGCCTACTGTCCTAACTTTTGTTTACTTACTGCTGGAAGATGTCAGGGTATCTAGTCAAGTGCATGCCTATAGGTTTTTATTGGTCAGGTGGATGAGAGAGATGGAAAAAAATGGTGGATGGGTGAGTAGATGGATTGGTTAATTAATCCAATCCAAACATATTGTGTTCCATAAATATATACAAGCATTTGTCAATTAAAAAATCATCGAGGAAGAGGACACAGATAGCTGCTCATGGTAAAAAACTGGCCAGCTTCTTCTGGTGACATTCTCCTTAGTTTCTGGCATCAAAAAATACACTCACTGATTTCCTATGTGATTGGAGGGGAGAGAGAAATAAAGAATGACCCCTAAGGGGATCCTTAGAAAAGGCCTCTTGAAGTATAATTAGCCAAAGCATTAAACACGAATATACACATACATATATAAATAGAAATAAATTACATGTAGGAACAACATGAAACAAAAGATATATTACTAACACAAACAGATTTGCTACAGGGCTTTATATATTATATTCTCTTTTAGATCCTTGAAATGTTAAGAAGTCAAGATATCTAATAATTTCTTACAACTCTAAATATTCATAAATATTTTTGAAGGGAAAACTGTATATTTCCTGTGTTGTATGAAAGTTGAAAAGGTTCTTGCAAAGTTATCCGAGTAGAAAAGATAACAAGGCAGAGGCAGCTTTAAGAGCGAAGATTTATCTTGCTGGTTCTTTTTAAGATTTAAGGAAGCAAGGAATGTGGAAATATTATTGTCTTTCTCTAAAGGAAAAACAGCAAGATTTTGAAATGCTCGAAAAAAAGTGAGATGGTTGTGGGTCATGGATTTTCTAACCATGCATTTGTCGGCTAAATAATACAATGCAGATATTTACTACTTGTGTTTGGAGTTCATTTTAAAATAGCTAACTAGCCTTCAAGTCAAAGTACTGCTGTGATAAATGCCACGATCCAGTAGTGGCTGAGAAATTGTTTAAAATAAGCTCAAGTACTCACGGAGCAGGTTTTGTTGCAAGGATTCCGATCGGTACAAGTTCACATGGTTCTTCTTAAAGACATTCTTGAGCAGCTGTGCCCTCTCCGTGAGGCTGTGGAATAGGTGCAACAGCGTGAAACGAATGATCAACTCAGTGCCGCCCGCTTAAGTGCCCTCAGGAGCGCCAAGGAGAATGATACTTAAACAAAAGCCTGCCTGAGCATTCTGCAGCCTCAGGACTCTTTGCACTCCACTTTCTCAGATGGCAAAAGGGATCTCAAGACTTTAGTCACACATTTTTAGGCCATTTTCCCCATGGCTAAGGAAGAGTTCTGTCCCAAATAATAATCCAGGATAAGATTTCCTCAATCCTTTCCCCATCCCATGATATCTATGTAGTTAAACAGAAATAGAACCTATACAAAACAATTAATTATTCACTACTTAATAATGAAAAATTACCAGATAGTATTATTAGCTCCTATGACCTAGGTTAACTGTGTGTGTGTGTGCGTGCACGCGTGTGAGTGTGTGTACATGTATGTGTGCGTGTGTGTGTAAAATTATCTTGCCATTTTACAGTTAAAAATACTATAGCTATTATTACATCTTTTACACACTTGACACATATTTTGGTACAACCTACTTATTAGTTACATGAAAGAAATCCTCAAAGTTCTAGAAAGAACACATTAAAAAATAAACTTCTGAGGGCACTGCATTGCTGCTGTAAGGTGGTTTAAAGTGTGCCTTCATTTCATTTTCAAATAAAGTCTTTTCTGAAAATAATCACAATAGGTAAAGTAACCAGGAAGAATATTGATTTTTTCCACATATGTTTTTAGGATGATCTTCATAGCGACAAATCCACATAATGAAATATGCAAGTTCTAAAAAATACATGGGGAGAGATCTTCACGTTGCCATCCTTGGCAGACAGAACGGTGTCCCTTCTTCTTACAGTGGGAATCAAAGATTGGTTGAATAGGCAAATTTGAGCAATTCTGAAACACACTTATAAACTTCTTCAATCTTCCCAATCATATCATTTTTTGTCTGGCTGGCTTATTAAACTTTGCTTTGATTCCAAAGAATGTAATAAGGATAAGGAACAAAACAAGCCATCCACATGCTTTGTAGCAAATGTTTATATAATTTTCTTTTAATAACCGAAACGGACTCAGTCAATTTTATTTTTCAACTACAAAAGCTTTAGTTAAGTTGCTGAAAGTGATGTTCACTCTGTATCTTGCCAACATTTCTGCAAAGATTATTTCTGAAATGGAATATTTATTATATACAAAAAGATCTCCCAAAAAGGAAGCCATCATGTAAATGAGTCACACATTTAGGCAAAAACCAAAGGAAAAATATTTAGAAATGCTGACATTTGCAGTAATCTTCCACATATATTTCTTCTAAGTCTAGGAATGGTAACTAGTACTTATTAGATGTATTTTATTGTCACTGGGAATTAGCTGCACTGAAACAAGAATCTAATTAATCTAAACTCCTGCGGTTGTGGAATTAGATGTGAAACTTGTTTTGGACATTGACTTAAACAGATATAAAGATGAAAAAGGGCCATTTTAACCAAGTCACTTTTCTCACCCTCCTATTTAAATGATCTAACATGACAGACGGGGGGACCCCAAGGAACACTAAAATGTGGAACCGCTTTGAGGAAGTCAGACAATTTCATCAGCAGGTGGTCTGATTTTCTTAGCAGAGCCAAGAACAGGGTGCCTGGAAGTGTCTGGTGTTTAAAGTCTGAGTAAAGGCTGGAGAATGGCAATGCATCATTATGCCAGCGTCCTCTTCCCAAATACATTTTCCAGGTTTCAGGTTAGCCTTCCTAAATAAATACTCTATTATTCTAACACTCAAATGTGAGAAGGCAGAGGAGAAGTATATCTTTCATATTATGGCAACTGAAATGCATAAAAGGATGTATTTTTTCCCCCCACAGCAGTTAGAAGGTCTCTTTCTGGGGAAAACAGTACATTCCTCAAGAAAGATATGGGCTTTGGAGTCTTTGGTTCAATTATGAGTTTGCTACTTATTAGTTGGCCACTGTAGGAGGGAGACAATACGGAACTCTCAGGCTGACTGCGAGGGTTTAGCAACTTGACAGCGCAGTGATTGACAATTAGGAAGTACTCAACAAATGCTGGGCACTCCCACTCAGTGCCCCGGATCCCCGGGAATCTATTATAAAAAGCAACTAGCACAGATCACCACAAAAGGTACTTTGTGAGGATCATTTCTGATGCCTTGCTTTTCAGCTGTAGCTCAGTGCTGCCATGAGCTTAGCTTTTCCAACGTTCTCATTTCACCTCTTTACTAAGCCAAAAAAGACTAGGTTTGTTGTTGTTGTTGTTGTTTTTGTCATTTTGTTTTTTCTTAGTGGCTTTGAGCTTCTTGCTTTAGAAGCAAGTTCTTGTGAGGAACATTCTCTTTCAGAATAAAGAAGTAACAGTGAGCTGTTTTGTACTTTCTATCCATGTCATACCTTGAGGAAATGATCTACCATTTAAAAGTTTATACAATTCTTTGTCATCCATGTTTATGGGGAGTGCTGTGACCATCAGTATATGGAATATACTGATAACATTTATCTTAGTACATGTGTTAAATATTCAGTATTTATTGGGCAGCTTTGACAGTATGAGGGAAAAAAAGGGAAAAGGCTAAGATACCTTCTCATTCCAACCACATCTATTCACAATTGTTTGCCAGTAGTTTTGCTCGTTCTCATATAGTCTTTCATTTACATACCACGTAATGCACATTGCGAGTTTGTTTAATGCAATTACACAGAAACTACCACTTAAGTATTGCTCTTTTATGTCCCAGCCCATGGAAATGTTGCAACTTAGGTATTCTATAAGAGGTGAGTGGAAAGATATAATCTTGAAATATAATATTTCATTTAGAAACATGAAGACAAAGTTAATACAAACCCATGTATAGTCACAGAATGTGCTGTGCGTATAGTCTTAAGGTAATTCAAGTGATCTTTGAAAGCAGTAAGCTTGAATTTGTTTATATATTGGGCTGGCAAGCTACTTTGGATGACTCATTAAAATGGATCTCTTGAAAGTAAGTCAGAATTCATTTCTGGATGGTTCACTGCACAGCATGGGGGAGCTCTCCTTTGTTCTGTAGCAAGGGTGACAGGAGAATGAACAATGACATCAAGCTAACCTTCGCACTGTAAGGGATGACATTTCACCATTTTGGGCCTTTTCCTTCCAAATGATGGGAAGGATTATCATCAAAATGATGATAGACTAAGGAAAACTCTTGATCTAGCACTGTGTTCAACATTTATCCAAGTAGACTGGATAGAAAAATCCAGAGAGAAAGTAAAGAAATATAATTTCTGTTAGCTCAGAGGCAATGTTCAAGTTGCTTTCCATGACTATAAAGAATACTGAGAAAAAGAGAGAAGAGAGAAGAGAGAAGAGAGAGAGAGAGAGAGAGAGAGAGAAAGAGAGAGAGAGAGACTATACAACACTATCAACACTCACCATGTACAATTATCTAACTCCATATTCCCATATTCCCCTCTCCTTCTAGGCTGAGACTATCTGTCCATCAATAGTTATAGAAAAGACAGTGAGGATGGACCTGAAGAGCTCCCTTCTCACTAATGTTGATAGCGAGAAAAAAAAAATTATGAGTCTCAGTGTCATATTTGCCTGTGTGTCTGTAAGATACTCTATTATCACACACACTCCAATGATAACTCCTGAACAGTGGTCCTGTCTTAATGCACCCAGTGGGTCCAGCATCTCTAATTAGAAACTTTTGGTTTTGAATTCCTGCTCTGTGTTTGTTTTATAAATGGTAAAATTTTATATGCAAATGACAGCTGTAATACCTATGTGGGCTCTGGGATGCCCATATTAAAAAAAATTCTTATGTCTCCTAGAAAATGTATAGATTTTTGTATTAGAGAGAATAAATACTATTAAAGTTGTATGTGTATATGTGTGTATTTCTCTACGACAACGATTAAGGTTTTCCCAGTAAATGTTGGCCCCAAACACGTAGAACACAAAAGCTGGAATGCAGAATTGGGGGCGAGGGGGGAGGGCTTTAGGCCTTGTGAATTTTTCTGGCGACTGGTGCTGGAGTCTGTCCACATAATGGTTACACAGAAGTACAAAGCTTCATAACTGAGAGTAATTTGTTTCCACTGTAAACAAGAAGCCAAGTTCACACAGCCCACCAGGAGTAAGGCTTGGGCTAGTCTTCCAATATTTTAACTTCATCATGGCTCAAAGGCTCTCTACTTAGGTTGATAAAATATACTTTCTCCCCTAAAATTTAATGGGATATATTCAATTTGGGTGTTATGGTATGAGATGTACTAATTCTACTAAAAATGACCAGTTACTGTAACAGAAATGTTTCGATTTTTAAAAATGGAAAAGAGGAGAAATCACTGCAATTGGTTACTTTTATATAAACTTCGACTTACTGTTTCTTTCACACATCTGTATTGTATACATAATTCAAGTTCACACTAGTGTTTAGGGATGATGATGTGCAACTTACAGATTCCTTGAGGATAACATTGTTCTACAACACTGTAGGCAATTTCTGCTTTATGTATGGCCTACTTTGGTAAGCATAATTCCATTTTTGTGTATCAGATTTTGATTTTACTCCCCAGATGCCAATCATTGATTTTCTACTCACCACTCAATCATCCTTTCACCCCTCCAATTATTCCTGTTTATTCCCTTGATCACTCATTCATCCACTCAACAAATGTTTACCCAGTGGTGCTAAGTTCCTGGAGCTGAGCTATGCATTTGATGGGGACTCTAAGCCATTTCTTTCAAGGAGCTCAACCCAAAAGGGGAAAGAAATGCACACAGGGTAAGTAAATGTTGCATTATACAGCATCCAATAAATTCAATAGCACATGTTTTAAAAAGGACAGATGGCATGCTGGAAAATAATTAACTTTATGTGTGAAAAGTTGACAAAACTACATCTGAACTGGGTTTTAAAAGCTAGGAAGGAGACTGTAAGATGGATGTTAGCCTGCAGACAAGGGGATAGCATATGCTAAGAATGAAAGGCATGGTGTTTTAGCACTCAAAGATATGAGAGAGAACTAGACTATACAGAAATCTCAATATCTCTCCCTCCTGAAAATGTAGATAACACATGTTAACTTTTTTCTCTTACTCCCGGAGAATCCTAAAAAATAATTCAGACAGTAAAATCAACCTGATAATTCCTTAAGAGCCTTAGAATGGGATTAGTTTAATATGACGACTTAAACGTCATTGCTTTCATTATCTTTCTCATTTGCCAAATCCTTCCCCTCAGTTCTTCCAGCTGCCCCCCTGCAGGAAGATGCCATGTTTAAGCTGATTTGCAACTTTCTGGTCACCAATGGGGAGCAGCCACACCATGAGGTCTGTGCTAGCCCCTGGGTTCCTGTGTGTGATATTCAACTAGCTCATTCCTGCGTAGCGATTTTAAGCAAAAGAGCTGGGCAGCAGGAAGGAAACATAACTAATTTACTTTCTTGGGAGAAGTTGGTGGGCAGTTATGGTAGAATCTTTTTCTTTCCTCTTTAGACTCATAGATTTATTTAGGGAAGGGGGAGGGCATATCATCTTCTCACTGAATCTTTTGAATCTGGTGGCCAGCATGTCAGTCCCCAGCCTGACTGAATTGTAAGTCATTGCTACACTCTATACACACCAAGCAGACTGAACATCATGGCAAGGGACTCAAAGTAAGTTTTAGTAGCATACTAATGAAGCTGAGAAATTTACCTGGAAGGGTAGGAATAGTAGTATCAGTAGCTTTTCCCAAATAGTTCCGACTACATGGCTTTGCTCATAGTTTTGTAAGCTAGAACTCTCAACCCTTTTTCACAGTGGGGGCGGGGCAAACAGTAACAGAAGAACTGCTGGTGCCAGGCCACACAGAACAGGTGCTTCTGCAAGGTGGATCCTGTGATGCAGCTTTTCAGATGAAGGGGAAGGTAGGGGGAAGGAGGAGAGTACATGGGCCCTGGAAGTCAGACTTATACACTAATGTGTCCCTCAGGTGATGTAATAGCAAGGTTCTGGGGGGGCGGCACTTGATGCTTGAAAAGTCAGCAGAGGCAAGATTCATGCTTTAGAGCAAGATTCAAGTGTTTAGGTACAAAGTTAGCAGGGACTGAAGGCTGGGCTCCCTCACTGATTGGCTTTAGGAACTTAAGCCTCTCCAAACACAGTTTCCTAATCTGAAAAAAAATAATAGAGATGATGCTCCTCAATTTCACTTATTGGTAATGAGACAGCCTAAGCAAACTGCAGGTAAAAGTACCTGGCAGGTACTGAGTGCTCACCAATAGCCAGGTTTCTTTGGCCTAAGTTGGGGAGTGAGAGGTAGAGGTCAAGGTCTCAGTGTTACCTCTCTTCCACTGGGTCACACTGTATCATGATGAAGATTTCATACACCAGAACAAAATATTTCTTATGGCTTAGACAACACCTTAGCTCAGCTCAGAAGGATAAGAAGAAAACAAAAAGACACATTTCTAGGAGTATCTGTATAACTGTATTTTATTATAGATTGCTTTAAACTAATTTTCATTTTCAGTATTTCTTTCTGAATTGAGTTAATGCAATTGGACTTCTAACGTTCCTCTTTTAAGGGGAGGACAGTGGTGAGAAAGAGAACGTGGAAGGCATATCTTCTATATCCAAGTCAGGTTCTATACCATAATGAGCCATGAGTACAATTACAGGGCAGTTTGTCCGATGCCAAACTATGAATTGTCTTGCATATCTATTAACACAGTGTCAAATTAAAAGCTTTCTTTCCTTTGCATTTCAATGACACAATATTTGTAACTATCATTTATTTAGTGATCATTGAACTCTTGGTTCAGGTTTTCTGTAGTATTTTACCCATGTCTCACCACTATTTTAGGCTGACTTGATGATTCCCATTTTATTGATGAGAAAACTAAGGCCCTTGGGTAAGGCCACACCAAGCTTAGCAAGTAGACAGATTTGAATGAAATATGCAACTTTCTGATGCCTGTATCTGTGAGCAACACCACCATAAATACAAGTTTTTCTTGCTTGCTTACACCCACTAGGAAAAGGTAAATGTAAAAGAATACACTCCATGGCTCACTTACCTTTTCCCAAGTACGACTGCTCCAGGGTCTTCAGATTTTGCCTCAAGCTCCTGAACTTCATCTACTAATGTTTTAAAAGCAGTCCTCTTGATGCTGGGGGGGTGGGAGAGAAAGAAAGAGTTTGCATGGAAATATTCCTATGAAGACTTTACAAAACATCTTTTCGTTTTAAAAAAATTATAGATGTCTGCTTTATTGACAAGTACCTATTATTGATAAGTACAAGAGTCCAACGTAATTTTCAAATGGAATCGAAAAAAAGTATAATGGTTTTATGCATTATTCTAATTATATGAAAAATACTCTTAAGCAATTAGAATGATAGCATTTAATCTCGTAGTTATTCCAAGAATCATGCAATTAACTTCAATGATGACTTCTCTGTGGAAAGAGATAGCATTTTGAAATTTACAGCTCTTGAGCAAAATCTGTGACTTTTTGTTCCTTCATTTCTGTATTTTATGTGTGCTTACAATCAGGAAAAGCAAACAATTTCTTTTCAGAGTTATTAAAAATACATTTGGAAACAGAAGTTTTTTTTTTCTTTCACCTTGTACAGAGTTACAGACTGGTTTTTAAAACATGCTCATTTTCTTAATCTTTCAAATTTACTCTTCTAGATTCAGAAGCATGCCCTTTTCAGTTATTTACAATTGATAAATACTTCTGGTTCCTATTTTGCAAGCTTTGCATGCCTGATGTGTGTTACTAGGCAAACCTGAAAGTTAAAAAACCTTTCCATTTTTGTGTCCATAACCAAGGATTACACACTTACACTTTGTAGGCTACATCCAGGAGCAAGGACGCCACAGGGATGAAGAACAAGCCCATCCAGAAGACTCCAGAGCTGAACAACATGGCTGCCTGTGCAAACCACCAGGAATGACAGGTTAAAAACTGAGAAACATTATTCTTCGTGTTTAGTTTTTAACAGGACTCCAGTAAAATAATTTTAAAGGCTAGCATTCTAAGAAGGAAGATACACAATAACCCTAAATTCAAACTTGTATAAAATTTGAAATTAAAAGTCAAATGTGTTAAAAGATATTTATTATTCTTTTTGTCCTCAAGTAGCTAATATGACAAAATTTGTATCATGTACCAAATCTTTTCATGTATGGAATTTTATTGTCATGTTCAACATATGAAGTAGGAAACCTTGATCTTCTTATATAACTTAGAATATCACCATCAATCTTTTTGAGGAAACAAAATATACTCTGGTTTAAATTATAGTTACATGGAATATAAAATAAATCCCAGTTAGAAAGTGAGCTTACTAATTCTGGCATATATAAATTAGTTTTTATTTTTGTAATACTGCAGGAAATTAAGAAATCATCTAGATAAATCCTGATGATGATATAATCAAACTCAATGAATGAAAACAATTTGATTATTTTTTGCAATTGGGTAGGAACAACCTTAATTTTGGTTCAATAATTATAAAATGTCAAATCAAGAATTTTATATACAAACAAAAATAAATGTATTTATGACAACTTTCATAATTCTTATAATTCCTCATAATTCTTATAATTAAGTCTCAAATTGCTATATCAGAACCTTTAGGGTTATGAAATCACAAATGTGATTTTAAAAGTTGTATTAGCTGTCTATAATTATATAAAATATTTGTAATAGATTAGATCATACAGAATTTGAAATGAAACAAAATAGATTTTTCTTGAGTCTATGTGTCTATAAAGAACAAATCTTCAGGGCTTAATTCCATAAATGCACTGTTATAATTTCATTAAAAAGTAGACAATACATGTACATATATTTTATAATAGATCACACAGAATTTTTAAAATGAGAATTGAAGGATGAACTCAGGAATTACAAATGATACAGCATTCTTCTAGACAGCTTCATAATTATGCACAGTCCTAAGAACCTAATCCTCATTAAACAGAAAATAACTAGGTTTAAATTATGTTTTCGATTACCTATTCATTTTGATTCACCAATGAGGACAGGAACTATTTAAAATTTTTCCCACTTGAACATGGGCTTACTGGTCTGCAAAGGCATTTTGTGAGATAGAACTTAATAGCCCTGAACATATTTAAAATAAAAAAATTGCTAGTATAAAAAATTTCAAAAAATAAAATTTAACACAGGAGATTCCAAGAAATAGCCCTCACATCTGTGACACCAACATGATGAAAAACTCACATAAAAGTCACTTTAATTAATAAGGCAAACATGATCTTGGTCATGCTTGCTGATGTCCTCAAGAGTGAAAACCAACAGTAACTATGAACCAAGAAATATCTGTTAAGCCCAGTGGGTTTTGTTTAGAGTGAAGGGCGCTTTCTAGTAAGGTATAGCTGTGATATAGCCACATTTCATTTCCCTTCCAGGGGGGAAAAGGTATGATACGATTTTAAGTTTTGTAGCAGAAAATGCCTGTTTTCCTTGGCTTACCTTTTAATATTTTAATGTTGGTGGAGGGGATAAGAGAAGAAAGATTTATTCTGGCCTTCACCACCTTGAGTTAAATGTAGGCTGGGGGAAAAGGCAAACGGAGAGACTGAAGGCTGCTAATTCTGACCATTGTGATGCTAACGATGATGGCGGGGGCAACTAGTACCCACCATTCAGTCCACTTGCCTTTGGCTTTACAAATGCACAACGTGAATTGAGGGGAAAGAAGTTTTTCGGCTTCATATCTGAAAGCCTGTCAGATTTTGTTTTTCTTTTGCAGAGTTAATCCAAACCTAAAAGATTTAAAGCCGACATTCGCATTTAAGACAGAGTCTCTTTGTGTTTTTTGGATGAAGAGGGGGAAAAAATAAAATCCCACAGAGATATTTCCTTCCTTTCTGTAGAAGAAAGGTCCCCTGGCTCTACAGAAATATCTCCCCACTTGCAGGCCAGGTCAGCTGGGAAAAGACGGGTGTTCTGCAGACAATGGTGGTAACAGGAGCAGCCTGTGTGAGGAGGTGGGCAGAAGCTCCCTCCAAGAGGGGTTTGTACGTTGTCCTGGACGTGGGAGATTGGTGGGCAGTGCCAAGAGCCGCCCCCCCCCCCTCCAGGCTCTGTGAAACCAAATGGAATCCGCCACAAAAGTGGCTCCCAGGGTGGAGTTGGGAGGGGGTGCTTTGGAAGGGATCAGCCAAGGCAGCTGGGGGGGGGGCTGTAAAGTTGGGAAAGTGAAGGGCCTGAGTCCTTTTTGGGGGAACAAGAGACCTCTTGTCTTTACAGAGGACACTGGCTCCCAATCAGACCGAGAGGGCTTCAAAATAAACCAGCGCTAACTAAATATGCAATCTCAAAGACGTCCTGAAATTTCCATGTGAACTTGCAGAGAAAAAGGGTTTGCGAAAATATGAGTTTCTTGTGCGCACAACCAAGCCAAGGGGTATGATCAGAAAAGAAGGGCCTCACTTCGGGCCCACAGCAAGGTTACCCTTGGCCTTGATACTAATGTTTGGGCACCAGAGAAGAGCATGTGGTCACTTTCTGCATGCCCAAGGTCAGCCTTACAGAAAAAAAAAACAAAAAACAAAAAACAAAAAAAGAGAATGGCCAACTGTCCCCAACCTTTAGCAACACATTTCTTGTCTATCTCGACTTGGACATTAGACATTGGAGTCTGCAGTCTCTTCCTTTCAGATAATGTGCAGATACCTTCTATAATGGGGAGCCCTTTGAAGAACCCTCAGTCTATACTGGGGAAACCCAAATAGAGCAGGTCAGGTGATAAACAGCCCTGAAATGGTTCAGCCTATGTTCATCCCAGCTACCAAGATTCAGGAAAGAAACTTCTCAGTCTCAGATTCCTCAGCCATAAATAACTTGTAAGAATAAATCATAATAATGTGGCTATGGAAATTATTAACACTGATTATTAAGGAATTTCCCATTCTTCATTGTCATTTTGATTACCTCTTGTTCTACCGAGCCATCTGCCCCATGAACTTTAAGGAAGGAATTAAAAAAAAATCACATTATCCAACTAAGTTTGAATCAGTTTATAGATTTCTACGTGGTAGGTTTTATCATAATCATATCACAATATAGGTGTGTTTTATTGGATATGTTGAAGGGTGATGCTGAAATATATATCAAAGGAGCTGATCAGTAATGAAGTGCCACTTATCTCAACTTTTCCTAGCTTAGGGAATGGAGACAAATTATGTTTTCATATCAACTACTATATATATATTAACCTGGGAAGGGAAATTATTCATAGGACAGTGCCACAAAATTTGGCTATTTATATACTTTTGTGGAGGGGAGTTCAGTAAAGAGAGAGTAGTATAAATTCCTAACAACTCTCCCTCCTCCCCTTCCCCCAAGAAGTAGGAAAGGGTATAACTGAGGATCTACAGGGAATACTTGCCTCGCTTGCACAAGGCTCTGGGCTGATCCCTAACAGTACAATAAAAGCAATACAAACACACACACAACAATCAAGGAGGATTTAGTTTGCGGTATCTAGAAAATGCTTAATACAATAGCTTTTAAGCTAAAAAACAGCAAAGCAAACAAGGGGAGAGGTGACACTGTTCACAAAGTAATGCACTCATTACCTCATTTACGTAACTGTAATCCCTCTGTACCTCACCTTTACAATAATTTTTTTTTAAAAAACAGCAAAAAAAGAAGAAACAAAACAAAACCTCCCTAAAAACTACAAAAGACCTGATTCATAAAAATGTAGAGCTTCTACATATATGTCTAAGGAGAATGTAATTTAAAAAGTCAGTGACAAACAAGAAAGTTGGAGAATGAACCTTACAAAAACATGCAATTCTGTATTAATATTTGGTCACAGAAGTAGTTCATTTGTCTTGCTAAGAATGTATGAGATCCTGAGAGATAGGCAGGGGACCCAGAGGAACGTTCAGGAAGCAGCTACAAGTAACCAGTAACATTATGACTCTCTGTAGTCATAAACTCTCTACCAAATTAGCTCAGATTAAAAAAAAAATCACTATTACCATGCGTGAATGTGTGAGTGTGCGTCTAACGGATACTTTTCACAATTTATGTTTCCACCAGGAATGTATTAGCCTTTGGGAAAGTCTCAAAGACACACACATTCATTCCTGTTAATTAGACAATCCTATTTCTGAACTATGTGTTAAAATTTAGGCCACACTTTTGCTTCTAGGCTAGTTTCTCATGAAACTGTTCCATGACCACTTGCTTTGAAAATACTCTGCCCACTTCAAGGCCCCTGGCCTGAGGTTTAGTAAAGAGCAGGCAAGCCATGGTAGCTGCCTCTTGAACACTCTCTCTCTCTCTCTCTCTCTTTCACACACACACACACACACACACACACACACACACACACGATATATATCTCACATATATTTGTATATATATTTGTATTAATTCAAGGCTTCTCAGACACACTGCTTGATTATGGAACACTCTCCCATCGGTACTGCTTTTGGGATTAGCTTTGGGAAATGTAAAATCTTAACCAGTACACTGTACGGCTGGTTGAGTTAATGCATTGTCCGTACAAGAGAATATTATCCAAGCTGTTCAAGATGCTGCCCATCGGTTACTTGGAAGGGTCTGGCCTAAAAACTCTGGTGTTCTGGCAGGAGTCTGTTACAGGATATATAACTTCTGTCTCCAAAAAAGGTGGATGTTTTCCAGACTGATCCTACTACACAATGGGAGCTACCACTGTGTTGGCATTTGTCATCCATTTTATTTTTTAAAAAACTATTTTCTTTTTGAATTAGCATCCAGTAATAATACAAGAAGGTCTCATTATGATGAACCTTTGTGTATGTACAGTGTGCAATATATTCCTGCTCCTGCTCTTCCTTCTCTTGCCTTTCTTCAGTGTTTGGTGCACTTTGTTATAATGTATATTAATGCATTGTACTTTG